CTGCAACACAAGATTACCTGAATGTGAGCCCCAGTGCGGTAGTCCTCTTCCTTGTTTAAGGGCTGTACTTCAGTTTGGAAATTGGTTTGCTGAAGTCATACCTGTGTTGGGGAGATCTCACAAATCAGTAGCTTGAGTTCTCTGAAATCTCCGTATCGCTGAGAACAAACATCAGCCAAAGTCACAGGGGAAAAAAAGTAAGAAAAAGAAAATCTGGTTTTTAAAGAGGAAGGAGCGGGCCATGGAAGCCTTCCTTACTGATAAGCAGTCCCTGAGCTGATCAGCTTTTTAAGATTAAGGTTGTTTGATCTGCCACTTGAGTTTCAGAACACCTTCCAGCAGGTATGGTGAGAGCTGACAATCCATTCCTGGCTATGAGAACTAGGCCTGCTAAACAAAAGTGCCTCCAAAACCAGTCATGTCTTTTAGGGAGGATCTTCTGCCCTTTATTCCAAGTTCTGTTTTACCTGGTTGCTGTATAAACACATTCTCAAGGGACATAGTTATTGCTTGTCTACACAGTACTTTAGTTATTTCTGATCACATGCAAACAGCCAGGAAAGCACAGAAAAATTGGTTGAGGGCCTCATCAGGCAACAGGATAGCAAAGGGTCCTCTCTGGTAGGGAAAAGGAGTTTATGTAGGAAAAAAGAGAGGGTGTAGCAGGGGTGGCTGTGCTGAGGAGTAGAGATGAGAGGAGAGCTTGGAGGGGGCAGTGGAACAGGAAAGAGGCAAAAGGGGGGTGTTAGCCAAGACTGATGACTGGCAGTTGTATGTTGGCTTCTGAAGTTGTAGTCAGAGTAGTAGCCCCACATACAAATGCCTGGAGCTTTTGAGATACAGCCCATCAAGCACCAAAGCAGCAGGTGTGCAGCATGAGGTGAGGAAGATCAAGAAACAGAATCCCTGACTCCTAAATGGGTTCCTTCCACCCTGCACTATGCTCTCTGCTCATTTGCCATTCCTGCTGGTGTTTGCAACGCAGCATCTGGAGAAAGCAGTGCCCTTGTACAGAGTATTTGGCTCGAGGAGAGCTCTTCCAGCATTGGATTTGGCCCATGGATTTTAATTACTCTCCACTGTGATAGTAATGAGAGTCAGTGGAATTGTACTGATTTTATTTCCTTTTAATTTGGTATGATGCTCTGGATGCAGATTAATTTTCCCAGCTCAATGTATGTTATTGATTCATCCTGCCTCGTGATGTGGTAAACAGCTTGAAGAGGTGCCTAATTTCAGTGTGATTTCACTAGCTTCCCTTGCTAGCTCTCTGCTTTCACATCATTGAAGCTGTAATGGGAATGGGGGACAGAACTTGAGCTCTCTCAATACAAAGCCCTACCAGAGGCTGAGATAAGGAGGCTAAAACAATGTTTTTCTGGTTGTAACAGGGGTGACTGCAAGGTGCAGCCACATTAGCAGGAATTTGCTCCACAGGCTCAGAGGCACACCAGTGGAGCCAGGTTGGCATGTCAGTATATTGGTGCAAGTGCACAGCCAGCCTTAGCCTGGAACCACATGCTGGCTCTGCACCACACAGCATTCTGCTCCTGACTTCTGGTGGTTTGCTAGGCCTGCCTGCAAACCTGGTGCTCCACCTAAACCTAACTCATTGGACAGTGTGGTGCTCAGAAGCAGTGGGGGTGGTTTTTGTACCCCATGGCGTTCCTATTCTGTGTCATCTTGAACAGCAAGGAGAAAGGGAGGAGAAAACTGAAGACAGTAGCTCTGCATCTGTCTGTATGCCAGTCCCTTTGCATGGATTGCATCAGGAAGCCTGGTGTGCCAAGACCTATCTTGGAAAGCTACTTTGTCCTCAGCCATTCTCATAACCTCCCAGCTCAAAACACTGCAAACCAATACTCTTGCTTTGTGTGTTGCTACAGCAGGAGGCCACCTCAGCAAGTCCAGAGGGACACTGCACTGCATGAGTGATGCAAGTGTCATATTGTCAGAGGCTGTCGGGTATCCAAGTGTAGTTATTGGACTGGCAATGAGTAGCCCTGCAGCTCAGATGTCATTATCTGGTTGCTGATGATGGTTATCAGTGCCTTGGAGGCATTTCCTGGAGCAGAAACTGAACTCAGGCTAGGATAGCTTTGCCTCAAATCAGAACCTGAACAGTAACTTCAGATGTAAAATATTCTTGCAATAAAATCCATCAGCTGTGTGGACAATTCTTACGTATGGAAATGTATGTACTGACTGTACAGTACTGGGCAAGCAAAGATAAGAGATAAATAGGAGAAAAGAGGTAAATACCAGTTTGTCCTGTCACACAGCTATCTTTAGGACTTAGAAGCCTATATCCAATTAAAGCAGCCAGGCAATTAGCATCAAAACAGTTGAGCTAGGTTTTTATCTACTGGATGTAGGTGCAAGGAAACCTCACATTCATCTGAGTGGGTTTGCCCCTGCCCCCCTTATCTCCATCCTGCAGAATTTTTTGTTTCCAAACCTTACCATGTGTGACTTGTCCATAGCTTCATGGTGGCAGCAATCTTCTGTCCATCTCTGTCTTCCTTCATCTCCAAAGCTATCCTGTGCACCTGCCTGCCAGCATCCCACTCACGCTGGCCCTTGAACAGTGAGGAACCACTGTCACCAGCTTCCTGAGAGATACTGGGCAAGAGATTAGGAAAATGCTCTTTGGAAGATAAGAAAATAGCACTAGGCAGAAAAACTGAGGTAAACTGGGGCACAGTGAAGACAGAGACTTCAGATTAGAACCCAAATGTCATCATCCCGGGGAGCTTGCGGCAGAGTCCTGCAGACCCTCAGCCACAGAAACACATCCTGCAGTAGCCCAAGAGTGTCACAGTGCCCTAGTACCCAGCAACATTTCCCCAGGATACTTGGCATTGAGTTATGAGGAGCAAAAGCTCTGAGGACCTAGTGATTCACCAGAGAAGGTGCTTATGCTGCCTTAGGCGAAGCAGTACAAATACACACTTTGGCTTAGTTCCACCATATCCTCAGAGAAAATAAAAAACCATTTAACTGTTGGGGTTTTTCCCTCTCCCTGCCTAGACTAAGCCAAGTTTCACACTTAGCTGGGCTCATGTGCAGTGGCACCCAGTGTGCCTTCAGCACACCACTGAGGGCACAACTGGGACAAGAGCCCTTTTGTTCCCTTACTGTTGTATCCCAGAGAAACAAATGTGTCTCCTCCAGCAACTTAAGACTGTTTCATGGTCCCAGCCACATCAGTGTCTCCAAAGTCCTAGCCGGCAAATTACATCCATTTTCTATCTTTTAGGTTAAAAAACCCACAACCCAACAAACAAACATAACAGAAGCATCTAAATTGTGATATTCTTGTTTTAAACTGTTTGCCTTCCTTTCTGACTGAAATAAGCACTAGGCTGCTTTGTGCCCTTCTCTAACTTATTTCACTATTTGTGCTGGGAAAGTGGAAACCGGGTGATATTTGAATAGGCTTCCAGCCTCCACCCTTCTCCAAAGTGGTTTGCACTGAAATGGACTTTTAATATATCCCTGAAAAAAAAAGGGATTGTATTTGAACTGGTAAAACTCTTGCGCCCCTATCTCACAGAATCATTTGGAAGGAAACAGCATCTCTTCCAGGATATCGTTGTGGTGGGGGTTTTTTTGTTGGTTGGGTTTGGTGTTTTTTTTTTTTTGGTGTTTGGTGTGCTTTTTTGCCCTTTTGTGTGTGTGTGTGTGTGTGGTATTCTGTTTTAGGGGTTGGGTTTGGTTGTGGTTTTTATTTTCTTTGTTAAATGATAAAATCTCTCACCTCCCAGCTGGGATTCCCTAAAGCACTCTCACATGAGCATATCTCAGGGATGATGCCTTGCTTAGGGAAAATGCTGTAAATACCAAATGATCTCCTGAAGGAACAAAGCAAAGGAAGCCACATAGCAACCGCTGCTGTCTGGCAAGTCAGAAGGGCACTGTGCCTCCCAAAGCAGCTCCCAGAGTGATGGTACATCATCAGTAGTCAGGTGCCCTTTCCAGAAAGTAACAGATGACTGTTTAAAAATACAAAAAAGGGGAGAGAGAGAAAGAAGGAAAAGGAGAAAAGAACAACAGTGAAAGGCCAAAAGCAGCTCCAAAGGCACAACCACACCCAGTTAACCCAGTGGTGTGCGAAGAGATGTATGTATGCTTCATGGACCGGTCCTTTGATACCACAGTCCTGTCCTTGCCCACGTACCTGCATAATCTCCTTACAGCTTCAGAGGGGAAGGCACCTGTGTCCTTTGAGGTAGCTAGAGGTATGCCAGCTTGTGCTCAGGCAGTGACTTGGAACTGGTGCACTTGAATACAGGTTCCAGAGTTGAGTTAGTTCCAAATACACTTCAGTTATAGGAAATGTTACCTGGCTTTCCTTGGTGCTTAAAGATTGCAAGGACAGGAGGGGTTTAGTTTTCACATATACTGAAAAGTAGTTTTATTATCCCCTTTTACAGGTATCAATCGTGAGTGTCTTGTCTGGGAGGACCTAAGGCAGTCAGAGGCCAAAAATTAGTCTCAGAGGTTACTAGGTTACAACTTGTTCACAGCATTTTCTACTCTGTAGCTGTGAGAGTTACCATACTTGCTTCATTCAACACTTCAGGGTGAGAAGTTGCAACATTCGTTTGTGGCTTTTACAAATGATCTTAACCTATATCCACAAAAAGTTCAGGAGCTTTAATCAATGTCCTGTGACCTTCTGCAGAAAGGCTATTAACAAACAGCAAGAGGAGACAGTGCTACTTCTTTCAATACAAGGGGAGTTGGCTTTAACTTCTAAAACACACTCCCTAGTGATCAATGAAGCAGTATTTTTGGAGAAGAGAGGAAACTGGCAGTCTCCTGGGGCCAGGTCAAATGTCTCACGATGTCAATTTCCTGTATCAGAGTACTTCTACCAAAATACTTTAGATACTAAGGCCTGGCCAAAATTATCTGCTCTGAATGAAGCAGGGATGGCATCTGGAAATAAAATCTGGCTTGAGTCAGTCAACAAGGCATCAGGATCTTGAGTCAAAGGCTGTCTTGTTTCACTGTCTTAATATGATCCAGAGGTGCTGTACCATCAGCACATCAGAAATTCCTAGGTGGCCAGTGGGGGACAAAAGAAGGCAATGCAAACCAGAGTTGGAGCTGAGAACAGGACCATCACTGGACACGGCGCTGGCCTATGGGGCCAGTTCTCATCATCACCAGCTGGAAAGACTGATGGACTTCAGGCAAGGTCTTTGGCTGTGGCCAGTGGAGGGTTTCATGATTGAATTAGGGGACAACCCCCCCTCATACCAGCAGCTGGTAGGCAGGAGTGTGTTGATTGCATTAATCTGTTTTTCCTCTTTATTAACTACAATTCCTCTTGCCTCTGCAGGAGGACACAGAGGAAGAGGTGTAGCAGCCATCTAATTACAGTGCCGCTTTTACACTTTTCTAAAGCGTTTTACCACTGACTTCAGCACAGTTGATGAAAAGCCCTTGTTTCACCAAGTGGCAATAGATTTAGTTAGTGGGATTCTGTTCCAGGGCTTCTGACATGCTTCCAAAATCCAGCCCTGACACTGCCCAGGCTGTGGGTAACTTGATTCTGATGGCACTGACAAAAGCCTTCAGCAACAGCAGAGATTGCACCTTAAGATCTGCATACTCAGATGGTAGTGCCTACTTCTTTGCATGACCAGAAAGCAAGCCAACACCCTCAGGCATCCCTAATTTATGGTAAATATTGAAATCTAAAGTTTATTTCAGTAAGAGTTGTGAAAAAAAGAGCCATTATATTCTGCAGAAGTTGGTGGCCGAGGCAGAATGGTTTATGCCATGGCAAAAATCAGTGATGTTAGCTGTCTGGCTTCCATTCGAGAGACCTCAGTGATTTTTGTGGATGGCAGCTGGATGATCTCAGCGACAGGAATCAGGGCCTCTCACTTCACATGGAGAAAGCCCTTCAATCGTGTAACTAGCCAGTCTTTGACTTCATTTTATTTAAAGATTTTAGGCACTGTACAGTGCTAAAGAGGATCTTGCTGAGATCCTATTACCTCAGCAGCAGCTGATATGCAATGAATTATTCAACACTAGCCAGTTCCTTCATTAATTTTAATAAATCAAGTTTTTCACTGTGTTCTTTGCAGTACTGAAAGCTGAGATGTGGTGAGGTAAGCCAGTTATTTCCTCGGGCCTTTTTCATTTGGTCCAGGCTTACATATCTGAAGACCTTGATAGTTAACAAGAGATTAGTAGCAGGCAGTGCTAATTTGAGGTAGATCTACAGTGGGCAGAAGAGGTAACAGAACTCCTTCTCATCTCTTGGGAGGTCACAAAGCCCTGTCTTTACACAGGGAAGATGGCTTTGCATGTACAAAAACGAACTCAGCTGTGACATGCTGACCTCCAGAGCAGACTGTAGCCTTTCAGACAGATGGCCTGGACACCACAGCAGCCCACAGAGGCAGATTATGGTGTTTATGAACCAATCTCATTTACTAAGCATCCACATGGATCAATCTTATATGCAGCATGTACACATGTTACCATGCACAACTGTTAACACATGTAAGCAGTATTCCTTGGTACACTGTATATATCCTGTCCAGGCTGCTGATATTCTTCACAGTGCAATAGCTCCCAACAGCAAATGCAAACTTGTTCTGGTGGCTGTTGCAACCTATCTTTGCCACCAACTTCTGCTCAAACTCAACAACAGAAAATATTTTCTTAGACTGAAACACTATTAGCACTTCCTGCACAACTCTTGAATAGGCAGGAACGTACTTGTTTTTGTTCATTATCAGCCTCAAAATTGCTCAGTCTTTTCTTTGCATCTGGTCTCCCACCCAAATAAGAACCAATCTCATAATGGAGTTAAAGGCAAAAAGATGCTGTATGTCCCCTATAGAACTTATTCTTACATTATTGTGCTGCATTGCATAATTTCCTCCTTTCTCTCCTCTGTAAAATGCAGGGCAGGGCATTTCTCCAGCCCAGGTCTTGCAGAACATTTAGTGCTTATGGCCCTTATCCTTCCTGTACACAAGACACACAGATTTGCTGGAGAGAAGCAGAGCATTCAGCCCAGACCCTTTCCTACTGAGGCTTGCATCCAGCCCTGACTATTCCTGTCTTCAGAGAGCTTAAATTGTCATGAGGACATGATCACATATAGCATAGTTGCACTTTTCAGCACATGCAAGGAAGGCAGCAATCTGTAACTGCTTTTGTTATACTGTATTTTAGAAGATTGAAGATGAACTGATGAGGAAAATAGAGGCTGGACACCAGCAATGCTGAGCATAAACTGTTTACAACCATGGTGATAAATTCAGTGTAGGGGATAGCCCATGAGTATCTAACCTGCCAGCATCTATGTGGTGTGTACTCTCATGAATGTGCCGCTGGTAATGCATCCAAGTACAGCATCTTATCAACAGATCTGACTCCAAGGCTGTTTGATGGATAAAAGACAGACCTTGCTAAAGGAAGGTCATAGTTACGGGAGACTTAATGATTTGATCTTCAGGGATGGAGCATGAAAGAATAGCCCCTAATTGTGAGAAATAAGAGTGTGGCTCCTCAGAGTATATTAAATATCAGTACCCATAAATCTGTGTTTCAAGGAGTGGGAGGGGAATTTGCAGATCCCTACAACCATTGCACCTGATGGCTCTTCTAGTCTGCCTCATACAGACACAGGGCTGTTTCCTGTGCCCAGGTCAGCCCTACTTATCATCTCAGTCCCCAGAAAATTGTTCTAGAGGTTCAATATTTTCAATGTGAATTAACGTACCTTTCTGCTGTCTGCTTTAGTTTAGCTTCTGTTCCCACCCAACAGGTATGTGCTGGTCTTATGAAATGCTCTTCCAAATTTTCCAAACTGACTTAAATCTAAGGCCACCCTTATCTCATGTTTGGGTACTCAAACAAACAAACAAAAATTATATGAGTCACCTCAGATTCTGTTGCAGAGCTCCCAAGACAGATATTGCTGAGAAGGCACAGAGGTAGCTTACTTACTGTTGTTTCACTTCGTTTTTTGGAATGACACTGTGCTGCTTTTAGGACCCAGTGTATTTCAGCTCCTTCATTCCATCATTAATCCTGAAGCTCTTTAATGCTCCCTATGTCTTTTTTCCCATATCAGTTTTGTGCAATTCTTAGCTTGTCATTGTATTTTTTTTGCTACTTTCTATTTTAACAGTGTTTAAGTACACAGCGTGCTTGCTTTCACTTTCCCAGTAAACAAGAAGCCTATTTTTTTTCAAGCCAATATATTTACTTTCCTCAGGCACAGGATTGAGGCTATTTGACCATTTAGTGGAAAAAAAAAAATAATTCCAAAATACAACCCAAGCTCCAAATTATAATTTGTATTTTTCTACTCAAATTTCCTTTATTACATGGCTCACAGTTGTTTTCAGCTCTCTGAAATTGACATTTGTAGAGTTGTAATGATGGATAATTGGTTTGCACTGAGCTCTGTTTGCACACAGCAAATATAACTGTGTAGTGATCACTGGTAACTAAGCAACCAGTTATGTTTTTAATTCTGTGATCAATTACTTGCTATCTGTCAAGATGAAGTCTAACACAGCATGTCCCCACAAGGGACACAACAGTTTCTGGAGTTAAGAATCCATCATCTATAAGATTGGGAGTTAACAGTGCTATGAGACTCCAGACTTACCATTCTGACTGGAGTCTCTTACAGACATGCAGCCTTTGTCTCTTTCAGTGGATGTGTTAATGGTCTTGCATTCTTGATGGCTAAAGCAGGCATTATTCAGAAGTAGTTCATTGGCTGCGTATTTCTTTTCTGTGATGGAAGCAGTGACAGCAAACACATTTTTTTCCTTTATTTGTTAAAGCAAATCATTCAAAGGCTCTCATCTGGGTGGTTCACCATTCAGAATTCAGAAGGGCACCTATGACAGGCTTGAGTTGAGTTGCTCCTACATCCTGGAAGGTCTCCTGGCAGTGGTCACTGCATGGGACATTCAAAAACTCTTGATTTCTTACTCTCTTATTCCATGTGAACATTTATTTCTTCTGTTTAACCTGGGAAAGTAATACTTTCCAAACTCATGGGGTCAGAAGACTCTTTGTCAAGCAGCAGGAATGGATATATGTGGAAAGGAAGCCAGATATATGAGGTGGAAGCCAGGCAGCAGGGCACTTGAGACAACCTTGGACAAGGGGTACAGTCCCACTGCACTCAAATGAGTGAGCAGAGTGGGTCCCATTACTGTATCTTGGTTCAGCCAACAGTCCAGCAAGCCTCAGAGAGAGCCATGGTCCCAACACTGCTCTGATGTCACCCAAGAAGTCAAATTGAGCAAGTCGCAATCAGTATACACATGGCCTAGCTCAAGCAAGGACCTAAATGCAGGTCCCAGGCCAGTGGGTGGCAGGAGCAAGGGTGAAGGTCCCAGATAAGGCTCATCAAGGTACTTAGAGGCTCTGACACTCCTCAGCCTAGGCCAGGTCTACTCTGCTATCCAGCATCTGTTCCAGGAGCACAAGCAGACACTTCATATAGAAGAAATCCATTTTAGCTTCATGGCCCATCTGTAGCTGGTTATAACAACTCTCCCATCACCGCCCATTTGCAATGAATGTTATATGGTGCTTAGAAAGAAATCTTCACAAGCTCCGTCTCCAGACTCTCTTTGCTTCTTGCTGTTGCTGTCTGTTGAAAGGAGCCATATGGATTTTGTACTGAATGTTGCAGAAATGCTAATATACAAGTATACTTGGAGGTGGCATGTGGGCAATAGAAAATGGAAATCAGTGCCTTTTTTTGGCTCAGATTACACAGGCAAGTTCAGTGAAGCCAGATGCTGCAATGGGTTAGTCAGGAAGCTTTGTTCACCTGAAGTCCCAGGTTCAGATCTTGATTAGGGTTATTTCTGCACTTGGCTGCACCAGCTGACTTTGTCAACAGTACTGATGCTTGCCAGCATATGTAAAAAATCCTGAAGACTTCAGCCACTGTAAAAAATAACCCCACACCATACAGTCTGATCTGGGTGATACTGCAGACCAGTCAGGGATCTCTGTTCTTTGGGGTGCTATAGGCAAAAAGTACACGTTAGAATGATTTGTGTCAATTTAGAAGAGTCATGTTACAGTCTAATAGCTGACTGAACAGTCTGCTATAGCTAGTAAGTGAAGGAAATTATTTGCTTTTGAATCCTCACTGGGCACCACAAAGTCTTCACTGGGCTATGTGGGAGTCTGCTGGCTTCAATGCCCTCTCTACTGGGGAGAGTAACATGATTCATACTGGTGCAGCTTGTCACAGCTCC